CACCGATAAAGTGTGATCGGAAAGCCGCACGCAACTGTTGCCATTTCCAAATCGAATGAGGCGGGAGAGTATAGTACCATTTTTTAGCTCGTGGCCCCAGTGTAAGCGAAAACATCCGACACCTCAGAGCGTCTGAAGCACCATGTAAATCCATCCAGGACGTATAATGGCCCAAATGTGCATCTGGATCTGATGTCCCATCGTACATACCGATTTGTGGAATTTTCACTTTCACAGGGAGCGCCTCCGCAGTAAGTTCGGGAGCTAAAGGAGAATCTGCCTCAACAATAACATTTCCCGACGTCGTGACATGTCGGGGAGAGTCTTCCTGTGACTTCTGTCGCGTCTCGAGTTCAGCCAAAGGTTTACGAAGAGTTTCAATTTCCTGTGCACTATGTCTTGAAAGACGATTCTGTTCAATTTGGCGTCGTAAATCTTCGTGAGCGTGAGGTGCTGACGAAATGGGCCTAGGACGTGGCGAAATTCTCTGGTGATGGGCAGAATGGCTTTCGGCAGTCATCTCCTGTATAGGGGGCTGATCCGGGAGTTGATTGTTTGTTACGGGATTAGCAATTACATGGGCCTGCTCTTCTTGACGTGGAGAAGTATGATGAGGCTGCGACGTGGCGTGTGATGTCGCCACATGTGTTTCAGGGTCATGATGAGTGTGGGTTGGATGTTCTGTTGGGTTAGTGGTTAACGGTATCGATAACGGTATCGTACTCGAGTTCCTAGGCATGGCTCGAGCTATCAATGAAGTCAAACCTTGAATAAACTCCGGATTTTGAAGAAAATTCGTGACATTCGTGACCGGAGGAGGTGGTGTTGCACGTCGTGGAGAATGGTTAGTCGATTGGCTCTGGCCAGGATGAGTTACGTGGTCTCGACCAGACTGCGACATGATGGTTTCGAGCGTGACAGTGGCTTAAAAGCGAAAGTTAACTTAAACACATAAATGCGCGCCCTCTTTCTAGCGCCAAACTGTTGTCAAATGAGAATTAACAACGATATAATTGATATTGATTTGATGTATACTCCGTACAATTCAACAGAAGCTTCTATGTTTGATAAAAGGAAAATGGAAATTTTTATGATTATTATTATCGTATCTCCCTGTTTGGAGAACTGTTTTCTCCTTTTATATTTTTGTACGACATTTATCTGTAAAGTAATCATTACACTTGAAAGGTCAAAGGCGGCTTCTTGCAATTTCTTTAAGGTCAAAGGCGGCTTCTTATTACTTCTCTTGATAGCTTGCCACTTGGACAAACGTAATGATGATTTATGCTGAGTTGTCGCCGCCTTACAATGTTGAGATGGCACATCATAGATATCGGTTTATCCAGTTATAACCGATATGTTATATCCGACATGTAGTGACCGACATGAGATATCGGTCAGATAATGAAGATGTCGGTTCTTGCTGAATCTCTCGTCATGTAGTCGTCTTGAAGTCTGTGGAAACGTCACGTACTTGTACGAATTTTAATTATCCCCACACTGACCTTGATCGTCTAATCAACGTTGCTTAATTCGGCTTATTGAAAATGATATCAACATAAGTAATAGGTAAAGAAGAGCCAAGGTCAACATTTATTGTACGTTGACACGTTAAGTAATAGATTAAGAAGAGTCAATGTCAACATTTATTGTACGTTGGCATGTTCTTAAAGAAATCGATTTTCAGTCACGGACAATTATGTGTTTGTTTCGCGTGTAAATAATAGAAAAGTGTTGAAAATATAGTTTGTGGGGACGACGAGTTGCTCAATTATTGAATAAATGATGCTGTGTTCAAGAAAGTTTAAATAATATATTTTTTTGAATTAGGAACATTTTATGGTTTGATAATTTTCCTACGAATTGTCACTCTTTTATTTATTAATACATTTTAATTTTTATTATTCTACAAAGTAAATACAACCTGTGCGTCGCACGGGTTACATACTAGTTTAAAAATAATTAGGTCTGGATTATCCATCTATATATTGACTATTTATGGTAATGTTACATGTATTGATTGTATTATAATATCATTTCTTATTATAATTATTGATTTGTAATTGTACTTGAAAAGTTAATAACTTTTGTATTTTTTATTAGTTTTACATATATAATATATCAAACTAATCATCTTTTGATGAACTTTATAACAAATAATATTTATTTTTATAACAATAGTATTATTGATTTATAATATTAATTAGAAAAATAAAATTATTTATGAAATAATATATTTATATTTCAAATAGTTATATGATATAAGTTATAAATATTAATACAATATAACACACGTAAGCCAAAAAAAAACACACGTAAGCCGCACAAATAACATGTGTCATTTTAAAATATATAATAATATATATTTTTTGCAAAAATATATATAAAGTTTAAAATAAGTTTTCTCATTAATTATAAAACTTAAGAATAATTTTTTAACAAGTACCAGTGCATTAGACGGGTGTTTTCACTAGTTTTCAATTTAACCACATCACAAAAACACATTATTTCAGAATAAATCCTTTTGTAATTATTTTCGGGTCACTATGTCTGGTCAATCACTTCTTTTTCACCTATATCTATCTATGTAAACTTATTATATGACATTTCAAATTTGGTCGATTTTTTTTTCTTTTTTCTTTTTTTTTTT